GCTGTAATCTGGATGAAAAATTGTAAATAATATTTTTTAGCTGGCTCTGTGTGTGGTGTGGTTTTTTTAAACATACAGTGGGGTTTAAGTTGGCATAAGTGTGTCTCAGGGGTGTGGATTTTTCACAGCACTGAAACAAGTAGCTCTACTGATTTAAGTTCCTGGTGAAGACCAGCTCCAAACACATGTGTAAGATAAACTTATGCATGGGGCAGATATCAATCTTTCACTATGGTTACTGTTTGAATTGATGATAAAAAATTAACCCTTGGATTTTTTAAGTCAATGTAAGTTGTAGGCCTTTGCCCTCTTGAGATAGATCTATGTGTCACAGGTTGGATCACAGAACCCTCCTTGGGAGCTGCCATCGGATGTGCCAAGATTACTACTACCCCTGCTTTCCCTACCACTCAGAACTCCAGCACCCTGTCTTGCTGAGCCAGACACACCCATCTGCTCCAGCAAAGACCCAGGGTCTGAATTACTTGCCCCAAAGCTGCAGGTTTACCTGAAAGGAGCTAACCAAAGTGTTCCTGTTTAACACTCAGGTGCCCAACGGGGTCTAAACCCAAATAAATCCATTTTACCCTGGATAAAGCTTGAGTTTACCCTACATAAGTTGTTTGCCCTCTATAACACAGAGATATGCACAGTTGTTTGCTCCCCCAGGTATTAATACATACTGAGTTAATAAGTAAAAAGTGATTTTATTAAATACAGAAAGGATTTAAGTGGTTCCAAGTAGTAATAGACAGAACAAAGTAAGTCACCAAGCAAAATAAAATAAAATGCACAAATCTATGTTTAATCAAACTGAATACAGATAAGATCCTCACCAGTTCCAGAATGCTCCCTTTTACAGGCTAAACTCCTTTTAGCCTGGGTCCAGCAATCACTCACACCCCTTGCACACGGTCCTTTGTTCCAGTGTCTTTCAAGTGTCCTGAAGGGTGGAGAGGCTCTTTCTTTAGCCAGCCAAAGACAAAATGGAGAGGTCTCCCAGGGGTTTAAATAGACTCTTGTGGGTGGAGACCCCCCTCCTCACTCCTATGCAAAGTCCAGCTCCAAGATGGAGTTTAGGAATCACCTGGGCAAGTCACATGTCCCTGTATGACTCAGTTTTTACAGCATCCATTGTTTACATGCTACCTTGAATGTCCTCAAGGAGACATCTTATGTGGATTGGAGCATTCCAAGATCCATTGTCCTTTAAGTGCTGCTTGATTAGGTACTTAATTTCAACATTCCTTTCTCCAGGAACTGACCAAATGCTCTACTAAGGTTATTTAGAAATCAAGCCAGTGCACAGCCAACATTCAAATAATCCTATTTGCATGCATGTATTAATACATTCAGTAGATCATAACCTTAACAAAGATATGTTACATGGCATATGTAGCATAAAACACATTCTAAGCATATTTCCATAAAGCCTTATGGGAGGTACATTATGTAAATATTTTTTTTGTCATCTGATTTTTCTGATAGTCACGTGCTGCTGGTGCTCCTCTGTTACTCCAGACTTGCAGAAAACTACTGTCTGGGATTCTTCAGATAGAGAGAAAGTTGGGAACACTCCTTTTGCTGAGGAGTGCACATCCGTCTAATCAGGACTATTTAAGTGCTAATACTAAGCACAAGCAATTTTTATTATCTTTAAAATAAAATGCAAAATAGACTAATGCACTCTGAAAGCTAGTGTTAAAATATTAATGGTAGCATTCCCACAGAATCCTTAAACAAACAGGAAATACAATGAAATTAGGTACAAATTATTGAATAATTTCAATAGCTATTACATTTTGTATTGCTGTAACTTAAACCACCACATCCATGCACAACACCCAAATTAACGGCAGCTATTCTAGGATGTGTCTGCACTGTGATTGCTTACCCACGCTAGCTTGAATCTCGCTAACCTGGCTAAAAGGCAGTGAAGACCTGCAGGCTGTACAAGCCTGCCGAGAACCCTTGCTGTGTACTTGGGTTCCTATTCTGTGCTGCTGCATCTTTGTTTTTAGCCATGGTAGCTAGATTAAAAGTTAGTGTGAGTACTTCTGTGCGAGCTGCAATCACACCTCTGCAGTGTAGGCACTCAAGTTTCAGAGATTTTAGATGCCATTTTAATGTTGCTAAGATGCACAAAAAACAGTTTATCAAATTGTCTAGTTAGTAATGGTTTGCCCATTAGCATTCTGGGGACAGAGTTGATTTGGCTGAGGGACCTGGATCCACACTGCATATCAGGCTTTAACGGGCACAAGAGAATTCATTGTTTCTCTTCCCTGCTGCTGTTGCTGGATCAAGTACATTTGCAAACGACAGACTGGGAGTGGGATTGGCCTGAAAAAGAAAGTGTTGAGAACCCAGTTATGTGTCTGACTGGTGCAACCGGAGCCGTAATTGCATTGCAGGAATCAGAATGTTGCCATGGCCTGCCTGGACTTGATCACCAAAAGAGATAGAAGCTGTACCTGTAAGACTCCCTGTGGATGGTGGAGAAATCCTGCTTTCCCTGTGCTTGGATGGGTTTCTGCTCTGGTTTGCAGTTCTTCACCTTCTCCGCTCTCTGGGGCAGGAATGTGCTGTGTGTGGTAGTTTGGCTTTCAAACTTGCCCTAGAAATCCAAACAGTCACAGAGTTCAGTCCCTTTTTTTGGTATTTTACACTGCAAGGTGTTGGGAGACGCTATCAAAGCGCCCCCTGCCTCAGCCATGCCTACATTAAACATGAGCCAACTGCTAACTAGAGATCGCAGCAATCTGTCAGCTTCCTTTCCATTCTGCATGTGGACCAGAGGTAATTACATTTGAAAGAGAAAGAACTGGAGAAAACTAGGAAATTGCTTTTAGGAAATATTAAAGTGTGTGAGCAAAGAAGTGGGGTTTTTCCCCTGTTGTTGCCGCGGTCAGTTGTAGATTCTCTGTCACTGACAATGTAAAATAACAGATGAGATAAGGCACTTGTAAATATACAATAGGGCTGTACAGGGGGCAGACAGACATGGCCGGTTTGGACTCTGCCATCTGTTTCCGGATGTCCCCGAATGCTGTTTGCTAGGGGGTCTGGGACATAAGGTAGCATGTGTGTGCTGCCAGGGGAGTATTCAAAATACCCAGGTTTAACTTGGTGAACGTTAGTCTAAGGGCTGCTTTCCT